GGGGGGGACCCACACCTCGTTGAGGAGTCCACGCAGTTGAGGAGTCCACGCAGCGTGGAGGGTGTCCATCATCGGGCTCCAGCTTGGGCGCGTCGCACAGCCACAGAGCGAGGCCAGGTCAACCACACCGCGTTGACGAGTCAACGCAGCGTGGAGGGTGTCCATCATCGGGCTCCAGCTTGGGCGCGTCGCACAGCCACAGAGCGAGGCCAGGTCAACCACACCGCGTTGACGAGTCAACGCAGCGTGGAGGGTGTCCATCATCGGCCCCAGCTTGGGCGCGTCGCACAGCCACAGAGCGAGGCCAGGTCAACCACACCGCGTTGACGAGTCAACGCAGCGTGGAGGGTGTCCATCATCGGCCCCAGCTTGGGCGCGTCGCACAGCCACAGAGCGAGGCCAGGTCAACCACACCGCGTTGACGAGTCAACGCAGCGTGGAGGGTGTCCATCATCGGCCCCAGCTTGGGCGCGTCGCACAGCCACAGAGCGGCCCACAAACACAGCGACCGCGCGGGCGAGGCCAGGTTCGACCACACCGCGTTGACGAGTCAACGCAGCGTGGAGCATCATCATCAGCCCCAGCTTGGGCGCGTTGCGAGCCCGCTGCCGACCCCAATGCCGACAACGCCAGATAGGGCGAGCCCAGATGCGGGACTGAAGGGAGTTACCTGGGAGGAAAGAAGGGGCTCAGTCAAGAGCAGCCCGTTTTCGGCCGTCGCGGTCCCTGCCCCAGCCCTGCTTGCATTCCCTCTCGGCGCGCGAGCCCCGTGCTGGAGAGGCGAGCAGGAGGTTCTGGGGGCGGGGGCGAGTGGGGAGGACGGCCCAAAGATGCCAGTGTGTGAGTGCCTTATGGTGGCGGGTGAGAGCTGCCTGCTGCGCCGGCCCCTCCCGCGACGGGTGCGAACGGATTTCCCGGGAGGGACTTAAATAAAAAATAAAACTTGTGAGCGCATTGGTGTCCAGTCCAAGCCTGACTGTTTTTCACCGGTCAGAGCAAATCTCACCCTCACTTCTAGACCTACGCAGACCCCCGACCTTTGTCAGATCCCAAACCCAGCAGGCTGCCCAAGGGCGGGACCAGGAGCTTTCAGGACGAGAACGGTTACTGGACCGTGTTCAACGACGTTGAACATTGTTCAACGTCGTTGAACACTACTTAGGAATGGCCGTAGCTCCTCTCCACGAGCGATTGAGAAGACGTACCACGTGTCGATTCTGTATAGAATTGCAAGGCGCACACGCTGGTGCAGGCGGGGAGTCGTCGATCCGACTCGTTCCGACGTGAAGTCGCCGTGAAGGATTGGCAAAACGGCCATTTTTGCCACATTTTGCCCTCCCGCGCGATCTTCTCGCGTCGGCAAGCGCGCGGGCCAGGATGGGCGAGCCGGTCCCACCACGCTGGACGGGCCAGCGGCTGGCACGCGCCGGCCACCCCGGCGGCGCGGCGGCCTCATCGCGCTCGTCGTCTGCGAGGCCACCGCTCGGCGTCGCCGCGTCCGACGGCGATGGCGCTTGGCTGTGAGGTGGGATGGCGGCATGGTGCGCGCGGACGTGGGGGTGGTGCGGGATGCGCGTGCCAGCAAGCATAGTTTCACCTCCCCAACCCCGCAGGCGCGCCGACGTGCTGCCCGAGCGCGTTTGGAGGCAGCAGCAGCTCCTCGCGAGGCGCCTTCGGAGGGGTGCCACACCCCTTTTCCCAGCCGCGCGCGAGTTGAGCTCCGATTTGCGCTCTTTTTCGCACACGCCCGACGTTAGTAGGTGAGGATCGACCATCCTCCGCAAGCAGGGTTTCGTCGGGCGCGTCTTCGTCGAGCGGTGGTGCATCTCCCATGCTCCCAACCGCGCCCTCCTCGCAGCCCGCCCGCGGCCGACACCGACGCCCTCACGGGCTCACCCTAGTCGTAGGTGCGGGTTTTTTGCGTGCCCGCCGTCGATACGGGGCGCTGGGCGATGGCTGGGCTTGTCGCCGGGCGAGCTGGCCCCTCAGTCGGCCGCGGAGCGGAGATGCGAAATCGAGGCGGCGCGGCCCCTGCGCGCAGCCTATCCGGCCGGCGCGCGCATGGTTCCGTAGCCCGTCTAGTGCCTCACTGACCAACTCCAGCGCTACGGTCTACGTGGCCGGTGTGGTACTGGGGCTGGGCAGCCTTGGGGCCGGCGGAGACCGCCGTCTAGCGGTCGCACTAGTCGGATATCGTTGTTCAACCTGTTTGTTCAACGGTTGTTCAACCATACTTTGAGCCTTAATTATTAATTCGGGTTTGGGTCTCTGAGGTCGATACTAGCGTCTATAACTTGCCACAAGCATGCTTTACAAAAGTCCAGCGGAGCTGGACTCGCAGAACGGCCGTCCGCGCGCGCTGTGAACAGCGCCGTGGTTGAACACTGTTCAACGTCGTTGAACACGTGACGGTCCAGTAACCGAGAACTTGCACGAAACACTGCAGTGCTGGGGATCGGGGTGCAGTTGAGATAGCATGCGTGAGATCGAATTCGAAACTAGTTCGCACACTACCTACATACCTAAACACTATGCCCACTTTTTCAGTGTACGTAGCTCTTGAGCACTTGAGCACTGGATAGGGTCGATTCCGCATGGTACGGGACCCCTCGATCGTCTCGCCCTCCCTCACTGGTGTGTTCACTTACGTACATTCCCGTCGGGGGACTCTGCTGACAGGGTTTGCGATGAGGAGCGACCCGAAGGGTTTCTCGGAAGTTTTTGGGGCACTTGGAGCTTTGGTTGGGAAAATGCACCACCCCACCCTGAGAAACCCTTCGGCTTCACGCTTGTGGCAAGAAACCCCTCAAAATCTGCCTGCGGTCGCGCCGGTCCGACGCCTCACAGCTCACACACAGACAGCACACGGAGAGCTCTCACACCACGGCCACCCCACCCAGAGTGGCTGTACATGGACGCCCTCGCATGATCTCCAGGGGCGCCACTGCCTTCCCCACATTGCGGGCTGATTAGCTAGGTAGGTAGGTCAAGGCATCAGATAGCGTGACGAATGCGCCTGCGCTTCAGCTTCTCTGTACAGAGACGGGCCCGCAGGCGCTCCGCATGGCGGGAATCCCTGCCTCCCATTGCATACAACTTTCCGCGTGCTCGAGCTTCGCTCACCCGTCGGTACCGCGTCGTCTGCAGTTGAGTGTGGGGCAGCCCGTAAGATTATTTTAAACGAACGAACGAAACTAGATGGGCTTTTTCATTAAACTCTCGCTGACCTGTCGCTTGCGGCGGATCCCGCACGCACCCAAGACTGAACCCTGCGCCCTTCCTAGAGCCCGCTCTTGTGTTCACATTCACACGCTCTCTCGACTACGTTTGTGTTGAATCAGGATTGTAATATTGTATGAGTACGATTCACCTCCCCTGTTTTTGTACAAAGTCACAAAACAGGCTGCGGGCTGCCATGCAACAACTGAGGCGCACCTGATAATTGGTGTTACGAGCCGCCCTGCCGTCCCTCCGTGGCCGAGTCCGTGTAGCGGACCGCCTGCACACGCGTGCGATGCCCCCGCCCCAGGGGGCCTCCCCCCCCCTCCTGCTCTGCCGGCCACTTCCCCTCCTTCCAGGGCACGCTGTCCCACCACTTCTTGTCCCAGGTCGCAAACAGCCCCGCCTTGCGGATGGTCTTCTCGCACTTGACCTTCTCGGATTTCCAGCGCGAGAAGAGGACGGTCGAGAAGCGCCGGAGCTCTGGACGGTACCGGACCGACTCCTGGCCGCCCAGCTCGCGGAGAGAGCTGACGCCGTGTGCAAAGCGGCCGTCCAGCAGCACGAGATCGCGAGGTCTGTACTCGAGGCAAAACAGGCCGTCGGCGAGGAAGAGGCGCCCCCCCTTGTGCTGCCGCCGCCAAATCTCCTCGCGCAGCTCCCACCCGGTGGGCCCCGCGATCCCGGCCGGCAGAGGGGCCAACGGGTCGTGGTGGATGCCCATCCTCTTCATGTGCTCGTTGCAGACGATCGAGGCGAGCTCCGTGCCGGAGAGAGGGTCGAGCCCGTCGATCACCTCTGCGGGGAAGCCCTTGGCCCTCATGAAGGGGAGGGTGTGCTCGGCATAGAGCTCGCGCAGCTCCCCCAACAGCGCGGCAACCGCAGGGTGGCGATCGTAGATGTGCTCCACCTCCGTCGAGGAGTACCGGTGCCGATCGACCGGGCACCCGCCGGTGCCAAACACGATTTCCTTGCCCTCGCGGTTGGTGTACGTAACCATCAGCTTGTTGTCGGTGTTGCCGCTGCGCGCGCCGATCGAGCTCACGTGGAAGCCCCCCACGATCCGAAGGCCGGCAGCTCCCTCGGGTGTCTTGAGGGAGGCGAGCACGCGCTGCGGGTCCGTGTTTGCCTCGGCCTCGCAGCCCAGCGCCCAGGGGACCGCAATGGCATCGTGGATGCCCTCAAACTCCTTCCAGGCGGCCGCACCCTCCGGCGAGAGCTTGTCCCGCAGGACGAGGGCAGCAATGGATCCGTCAGGGTAGCACACGGCGAACGACTCGCTGTCGCTCAGACCGACGGCGCGGCTGTTGCGTTTGTTGATGGCCTGCGCAAAGGCGCCCTTCTCGCACGCGACCACCCCAATCATTCCCGCCACCTCCTCCTCCGTCGCCCGTGCCTCTTCGCTGATGCGGACAATCGGCAGCGAG